GACCAATTAGCACCTCAATGATTTCCACAGTGAATGCTTTGTACTTGGGAGACCAATCTACAAACAAATGATTCTTACCTTCTATTTCTGGTGTTTTCAGAAAGTGCCAGTTTATGTCAACTAGTTTTAAAATAGTTGTTGACAGAAATGGAGGGTCATGATTTAGAAGTATGGGAATTGTAGAGGTATAGGCGCTGAACCAAAACAGCAACAAAAATACATTTTTTTTTCTGGCAGTATAGAGCCACACTATTCAAGACATAATTACTGAACGTTATCTTCTGCCAAGTACTTTCTAGATGCTGTGGGTGTCAGTGTGTAAAACAACCTAAAATCTCTCTTTTCATCGGGTGCAATAGTGCATGCCTTCATTGTTAGCACTGGAAAGGATGACACAGAAGGAATGTGAGCTTAAGGCTAGCCCAGAGTATATAGGGATGCCATGTCTCAACAAGCAAACAAAACCCACTGACATTATAAGATTTGTATTCTATTTGGTTTCAATGATCATAATAAATAAGTTAATCATGGAATGAGTTAAAGGTTATCAGTACTACGGAAAGAAAAAAATGAAGAGTGGGGAAGGGACTAGGAACATGTGCACATGCTAGTTGATGACAGTATCATTCACAATGGCCAGGGTGGGCTTTTTTTCCAAGGCAGCACCTGAATGTGTTTGATAAACCAGGTACCATATTACTCGAGCTTCATGACAGCAGCAGTTTGATTTTTGTGCACAGTATATGTCAGTCTTATGCTATATGCCTTTTCTAAATGACATGTGCTACATGGTATTTCTAAGTTTCAAAACAGTCATATAAAGCAGGTCCTTTAATCTCATTTTTTTTACAGAAGAAAACTAGGGCTTAGAGAAGATAAACATGGGGTCATAGGTCATATTACAAATAAATGGCTTGGAGGGGATCAGGATTTTGATAACTAATTCCAAAGCTCATGGTCTTTCCACCCAATCTGTGTTTCCCAATATGTGGTTTCCCTAGGCATGACAGGAATCTAGTTAAAGCTCCTAAAGGGATTCAATAGAAAGTGCTGATTCCTGGGCCCTGTGCTATTCAGTTCAATCTTCTGGATAGTAACCTAGGAATCTGAATGTCTAACAAGTTTCCTTGCAAACTCTGCTGCACAGTGAAGCTTGAGAACTACGATTATCATCTTTTGCCTTGGTCTTTTTGAGGAAGCTGAGATAGAGTCTTAAGCTGTAGCCCAGGCCAACCTGGAATTCACTCTGTAACTCAGGCTGGCCTCTACTTCCTGAGATTGTCTTACCTCAGTCTCCTAAGTAGTTGGATTATAAACATAAGCTACTACATCACAATTACCTTTGCCTATGACCATGAAGGTTGTCATCAGGATCTATTTCCAGTTCAAGGACTTCCAAACAAATGCCTAATCTGACTCCTTAAAAAAATAACAACAACCAGTTCTCATGGTTGAGGGGATAGAATCCAAGAGCTCATACAAACAGGGTAATAACTGTATCACTTAGATATAGCCCCAGACATTAGTCTTGTTCTTGAATCATGTTATCCTCTGAATTTAGGTGCCTCTTGAATACTGGGCCAAAGCCAGGTTCTTTCTTGCCTTTTCCTATTTTTCATTAACTCAGATTATGGTCACAGAGGAGACATTCTCAACATTAGAAAATGAAGGACATTAAGAACAATGTTTAGATCATTGCCAGGCTTCTTGGGATTTCTAGATCCTTTCCACCAGTTCTTCTGTGGAATGACTGCTTTCAGGGTGCTTTGTGCTTTTAAGGAAAAGCTCACAGCCATTGCTGCTAATAAGACTTCATGTGCAGTGTCTGTCAATGGTAGCAGTTTATCCCTTTTCCAGCTCATAAACCTTCCTAGGAACTGTGAAGAGACACAGTGGCTAACTACCTTTAGTCAGCTGGCAGGTTCTGTCATTTGAAGCATCTGAAAAATGAAAATACTAAACAAACTTTTACACACACAGATGAATTCTTATCCACCCATAGGCATGCTCTCTCATGATACTTGGTATAACAGAAAAGATTTGGAAAGGCCAAGCATGCCAAGAGAATAAAAAATTGTGATGAAATTAATTTTTTATATGCTTTTAAGAAACATAAAAGAAGAAGTCAGTTCTGGAGCACTCAGCCACACAGATGTCAGACCTAAAAAGGATCTTGGATAGCATTCATTTAAGACTATTCCATGATAACTAAAGAAATAAAAATCAAAGATGAGGTCATGTAACTAACATAGCAGAGAGAGATTGTAGTCAAGTTTTCTGGTTCTACTTTATTTTTACCGACCCTGGTTTAGGATCTTTGTCTTTCTTTCCTTCAATTTCTTCCACTGTTCCTTTCTTTTTCAGTATAGTTCCCACACTCCATCTAAGGAGATCAGACATGAGTACACCGACAGTTAACTTACGTTAAGAAAAGTATATTTAATTCTTGCATGCCCAAACTTTCCCCACATGTAAGAGTCAGGACTTGAGAGACAAAAATCATACATCACACAGCTACTATCAAGTCACTCATGAATCTAACCAATGTTTATCTTGTCTCTACCATACCATTGGCACAGCAGTAATAAATGCATCGACCAGAAAATATTATATTTTGGTGAGGAGAAACACAACTGAAAAGAAAAATTAGCAAAGTTTTCTATTAGTAGTGGTTACTTCTAAGGAGAAAAAGAACAGAGTGTGAATATGAAGTCAGGGTGTGGTGTGGTGTGGTGTGGTTGTTGTTGTTGCTGTTGTGGTGGTGGTGGTGGTGGTGTGTGTGCGTTTTGCTGGTAGTAGTAGAAGTCATAGCAGGAATAGTAGAGTGAGGGTGGAGGCATTAGATTTTAGACAAAGTCATCAAGATGGACTTCTTTAAGAAACACAAACCATAACTTGTGCACATAAATATTTGTTAATGCCCAAGAGAATCTCAACATCAATCCCTGCAGAGAGTGATAAAAATAAAGTCAGGTTTGGAAACCATCACACAAGACAGAATACTGATGTTTTGCTGCTGTCCTAACTATTCCAGGTGGCAGGAAGTAGAGAGAAGAGGGATGACATAATTACAATGACCTCCGCCTTTCAAGAAGATCAGGAAGCATTTTGTTAGTATCTGAGGTGAAAAGAAATTTCTGATGGTTTGTGGTTTCATATAAAGGAGAACTTTGCTTAGAATACAGAATTTACAGAATAGAATTAAGATTGATGAGAGATATTATTTTGTTAAAAAGTCCAGAGAACATGAAGTAATGCCAAGATAACTTGGCAAGATGATATGTGACTTAAAACTTGATGAAAATATTGAAAAGTTCAGACATTTGATTCATCCAAATATGTAATTAATTATGAGAATTTGGACTGAAGTGTGAAATTTATATAGTTGATGACTAATTCAACATTTTTGAGTTTTCCATGTGCAGCACAGGGACAATGCTTCAGAAACACAATGGGGAGCAAGATGCCACTGCTATTCACTGTGGTAAATGCATTTCCTCTTCCATTTGGGCATCTAGCCAGAGTCCAACTCCCAGCCTCCCTTGCAGTTAAATATGATCTGTGGGTAAGTTCTGGCCAATAGAATTCAGTGCATATAATGGACACTCTTTTTAGATATACAGTAAAAGCCTAGGGATAACAGAATCTTACAGTACATGGATCTGAGGTTCTGAAGTCACCACCTATGAGGCAGTCTACCAAATATCTGATAAAACATTATGATACTTATGTTTCTAGTGTTAAAATACAGAAATTAAAGGCAGCTCATGTTGTCAAACTAATATAATTATTAATTAACATTTGGTCAGATATTTACAGTCTATATAACTCTTTCTCATAGCAAATGATTCTGGTCATAACCTTAAGAACTAGGTAATTTTTTTCACTTTACATAAGTCAAATTCATGCTTATGGGGTATTGAATTACTTGATCACAATAATATAGGTAAGATGCATGAAGAAGCTATTCCAAATCATTGACATTTGAATATCCAAAATAAATTCATGTAGGACAAGCACGGCAATAAATATACTATAAAGAATTTGATAAGTGTAGAAAACTATGAAGGATATTCAGAACAGGTAGCTGGCATTCTAGGTTGAAGGAGCCACAGAAGGCCCCAGTGGAATAGGCAATTTATTGCATTTAAAAATGATAAGAGAAACAGCAAAAGAAACATGAGGAACTTTCCTGTAAAAATTGACATGCAATCTGAGAGGAGACCAGAAATAGAAGAAAAGAAAATTGGCATTTGTTCTAATGTTTCAAGGGAAGTTTGAGCAAGCAATGCAGTTTTATGAAGAAAAACAGGAACTGGTAATTCAATACAAATCAAAAAAATATTTACTGAGTGCCTACCAGATGAAGGACCTTCCAAAAGTGTACGAAGGATACAGAGAAGCGATAACAAGGACACAGTCCTTGCTTTAAATGCATTTATAATCTACTAGAGGAAATGGCCATGCATGACTACAGCACAATGCTGAGCAAGATAAATATAAATAAGAATGGTAATGGGCTTCAGGAGATAGATAAGTGGCATGGGAAATGACAAGGGAAGGGCATGGAACAGAAAGATGAAATTTTATACAGAAGGTGTAATGTGAAGATTGACCTTGGAGAAACCATGTCACCATTGTTGGTTAATGAACATGTGAATTCACAAAGATAATAGAACTCCAAAAAGAGGTGTTTTATTAATATTTTGAGCAAGAACTACTGCTCCATGGGTAACTAAATCCTCACATGTGATTATTATTTAAGGGACAACAAAATGAAGTTTATATTTCTGATATGATTGTTAAAACATGGAAACAAACTTTTATAGTGACACCAGAGTAATGGAAATTTCTACTTGAGCAAAACTGTCTGACTGCCAGTGAGTTCACTCATGACTAGAACAGCAAACCAGACGGTGGCAAATTTAAGTTTCATTATACTGCCAGAGGCAACCAACAAGAAAATCATTGAGATGTGTGACCACTGAAGGGCCACTTACCATGAACAGAGCTTCATAGTTTTCAATCATCTTCTGTACCACAGCTATGATGGCTGTGCTCTCTTCAGCTCTGGCTGAGCTCTGGACAGAATATTCTTTGTCTGATGACTTCTGTTTGTGGAGCAGGTTGGGTCCAAATATAGTGGCCAAGTTCAGAGATGTCATTTTGTTCCCAGTGACCTATGGTAGAAAATAACCCACAAAGACTATTCTTATGTTGCTTTTTTAATTGCTAGATGTTCAATAAGCCATGAAATATTTTCATTAGTAATTTTTCCTTGCATGGAAAACATCACCTTTGTCAGAATCTAAGAGGACATAGTAATATGCCTTTGCTTCATATTTTGGATTCAAGATCAAAATTCAGTGATCATCTCAATAGTGCATGGAATAAAATGTTGCAATTCTGAAGTGTTTATTGTCAAACTCTTACTATTCAACATCTCCAAACCATTTGTGCTTAAAGAACATTGATGCTCAGTAATCCATCTATCAATGTGTCTCTTCATCTGTCCCTTTACCCATTAATCCATAACATCTCCACTGATCCATCCACTCAGCATATTACTACCCTAAGCTTGACATTTTTCATGGGTCAAGATTATTTTTAACATTTCCAACAACAATCATCACAGCATAGTCATTATTTTAAAGGGCTCCCATTCAAGGAAGGAAATACACTTCTCATTCCCAGGTAGTGAGTACAAAAAAATAAGATCTTATCAACTCCAAAGACTCCAGAATTTGGAGATAGTAATATTGACAAAAAAATCGAGAAAGAAGGAAATCAGTACTTCTGATGAAAAGCAGAGTCTCTGGGTAAGGAACATTTTCACACTGGAGCACACAAAAGCACGAGGAACATATGTGGGACATCAGAGCAAGAGGATTTTGTATGGAGAAGGGAGGATTTGCCTGTTTTAAAGAGCAATCTATGGCCCCAGAAACAGCAGTGGTGTGACAACACATGGGACATGGTACCACAGTCTAGGTTTCAGGAGCTAGCTCCTGAACTACAACAGAAGAAATAAGGGTAAAGTATAGTTTGCAATTGTCATGTAGATTGTCAGTGTACATAATGAGGGTGCCATACTGGGGGTGAGGATTTTTTGTTTAAATAAAAGTAACAGAAACCGATTGAGAACTGGTGAGGAGTATAGAGGGTTGAGGTGGGGTCCTTCAGACTTAAACACCCTGAAGGAACAGCTGATAAAACAGACCAAGAAGGACATTTGGAGAATAGAAGAAACATGTGCTGGGAAGGAATGCTAGGGGAGTTTCAAGTGTGTGATCCCCTGTGACAGATGTTCACCACGACATTCTGTTCATTCCCCTCTGGATTGGACTGGAGGGTGGTTCTGATGGTCTAGAGCAGAGCCTTTGCAGGGTTGCAGCAGGCAGTGAGAACAGTGAGTGCAGATGCTTCCTGGAACACTCTCACAAGCAGGGACAAAAAGGAAAGACAGTGGGTAGGCAGGGCGTGGCACTATCAGGAAGCACATAATGAAGGCAGCAAAGTACTCTTAGGTGAAAATATTAAAAAAAGACACATGCACATGCTCAATATGTTAATAAATAGAAGCATGGGCACACATGTAGAAACAGAACAGCTTTCATCTACCACTCCCCAGTTCCATTTGTCCAAATGCTTTCTATCTCTATCTATTTTTTGTTTTGTTTTGTTTTTTTGAGGCAGGGTTTCTCTGTGTGATGGCCCTGGCTGTCCTGGAACTCACTCTGTAGACCAGGCTGGCCTTGAACTCACAGAGATCTGCCTGCCTCTGCCTCCTGAGAGCAAGGATTAAAGGCGTGTTCCACCACCGCCCAGCTCAAATTCTTTCTTAAGTGCCTATTTGCACAGAAACCCGTGATACAGTTTTTTCTCCTGAAAGCTAGAGTCTCACTCCATATCCTACTTTGTAACTTGCTTGTTGTCTCTTACCAACATGTTGCATTCATCTCCCAATTTCAAACATTTCTTCACTTTTTTTGGCCGTTAGCAGCAAATGGCATAAACTGATGATCATGATTTGCTTTAAGCACAGCCAAATGATATGCATTTGTGCCATTTTCAGTCTTCTGTTGCTATGAATAATGTACAGAAATATCTACACAAAGGCATTTATGTGCTTGGCTGAGCACTGTCTTGGGAGTCATTTCTCCAAGTTAAATTGTTATAATAAGGACTATGAGCATTTTTAAAAGCTCAGTAATCGTTTTACTTACTTGCCTTTTTCACATGGGAAGGAAAGCCTGGCTAAATATTTCTAATCCAGGGTCTATCTATCATGGCAGTAGTGAAATTTGTAGCAGACTATTCTTTGCTGCATGGACTGTCCCATGCAGGGTAGGATATTAAGTGGCCTTAGATCATTAAAGTCTAGTAGCACCCCTTCACATCCAGTTGTGCCAACTACAGGTGTTTCCACATGGGGCTCTGTGTACCTTGTAGGGCAAAATTTTCCTCAGTAAGAGCTATTGGTCTGTGTGAACTTTGATTTCTCTTGTTAACATTAGCCAAGAATGCTGAGGGCTGTCCAGGTAAAAGTTATACCCCAAACCCAAGGAAGATCCACACTATCATTGAGACAGTATGTGGTGGTCTCACATAGGACTCAGGACTCAGGAATCTCCACAGAATGGCTAAGTTGAAGGCCTTTACCATGTGAAGCTCAGAACTGGTGGGAGATTTGTCCTGCAAGCTCACTACGGAAACTCGGGTGCTTTTGTTGTTGTTGTTGTTGTTGTTAAAGGATGAGACTATTTTCAGATAAACAAGTCACCACCAAAGGAAAGTAGTATTCTGTATGGTAAAATTTCCAAATATAAAGAGACAGTACATTGTCTGTGGGACTTTTAGTTACTCGGTCTTTGTTTTATTTTGTTGACATGAAGCTCTGTAAGTTTTTATTCTATTTTTCAATCCTCTTCCTGAAAATTCATGGTTAAGGAGAAAATAAAATATGTGTCATTTTCCAATTCTTCCTTTCAGAACTTGGAGGCATCTGGAAAGCTTCTCCAGCCCCCTTTAAAGTAAAATTGGAGTTTTCTCCTTTTTTTTTTTCAAGCATGAAGAAACCAAAGATTTTGTTTTCACTTAAAAGAATGTTTAGTACAAGGACAATCCAGAGCTCTGTTTCCGCTCTCTCCTTCTCTGGTTGCTATTCTGGGAATGCAATACTATCCGTCTGTAAGATTGCACATGAATTCCAGCTGCAGCCCAAGCTGCTGCACTTTGTTCCCATTTTATGTTTTGTTTTGCTGTTTATTAAATTTTGAAGAAGTCTTGTTCCTGGACATCTCCTACCTTTGCTCCCCATGTTTTAATATATACACATATGGACTTTAATTAGTTAGCTAGTTAAAGTATATATGGTCTGTCTAGGTAACAGGAGCGCTCAAAACCAGGCCATTACTGCATGATTTAGTTAGTCAGCCAATTCCAGGAAATCTTCTATCTTCACTAAGTAAGCATCCCAGATAATTTCTAAGCACTGTATAAATAGCATGTATTAAAAGTCCAGAGTTTCCAGACATTAACTAGGGGCTTTCCAAAGACTTTTTCAGTTCTTTCTCTAGATAAGCTTATGTGGAAAGCAGCTGCTCCCATGGTCATTTTATAGATAGTGGGGCAAGAAGGCCCAGAGCCAGGAGGAGGTAGAACAGTGAGTAGGAAGTGAAGCCATACAGCTGTGCTGGTACCAGCCTTTTGTCCATTTCATTATATGGGTATACCTCCTCCTGTTTGCCCTTGGTTGGCAGACCCTATAAGAGCATGGGGAGATGCGAAAATGAGCTTTAAAGTAAGGCTTGAGGAGGCTGAGGCAAGGGAGGCAGAATCTTTACCATATCTAACTTACCATGTCTTAGAATCAAGTACCTCCTCAAAGATCAGAAAGCATGGCTCCACATTGGGTCTTTGGTGCTTATTATATAGTTCCTTTGAGAGTTGATGGCAGCTATAGCCTCTCTCATGAAACAAATGCCTAGTCATACCATATTTTCTGTGCAACGTCAGCAGAGTCTTAAACTCTGAAAAACTACCCTCAGGAGGTTTGGGTTATATTCCTACTATAATCTTTTGTTGTTGTTGTTAAAAAAGAGGAAATGGATTGTTTCTTAAACCTGGAAATTTCTTTTTTTTCTCTAAGTAGCAAAGCAAATAGCAAGCTAAAATAGAACAAAACAAAATTAACATAAGACAAAAAAATTCAATAAGATACCACAATTTTCCCCAAAACACCACCAATGGGTTGACCTCAACATATACATATACTTTTCTGATATATCTTCATGATCTTACCAATGAAGAGTGCACTGAGTTTTAAGCACATATTAGAAAGGACATGATGTTTTCACTTTGCAGATGAGGAAGTGTAGGCCTTTTCTGGCCCTGACTCTGCTTTCCCTTCTCTTCCTCTTTCAAAGAGACAAAGCTCTGGCAAGGCTTTGTGAGCTTCCAGGCTTTTTAAAAAACTAATCTGAATCAGTTTTCTTCCATGCTGCAATCCGTAAAGAAGTGATGCCCTAACAAATGCCTTACAAACTAACAAATAGGTTGGAGAAGAATTGGAGAAATGCTCTGTTATTTGTCCATAATTTACTATGTAATATTTTGCCTTTCTCCATTCTTCTGCTCATTCTGTGTTTCCTACCTGTTCATGCAACTAAACAATTCTAAGGTTCTAAGCAAAGAACCTCTTCTTTGTTTCTCTACCTCTACCCTTAGCGTTTATTAGAGGAGTTTAGTTAACTCCTATTCCTATTCTATACTTATGTGGTCCATCTACTCAACCCCCTACAAGGTTTGTATTCAGTATTCTCCATGGAGCTATTTGCAGGTCTTCTAGCTCATGTCTGTCCCTTCTCTGAATGTCTGTTTGCCTTCTGTCTTCATCTCCTCCACCTCTAGATTCCTGTTTTCTCTACTGCCATTGATACAAAAGCTTCCTAACACATATTCTCTCTGTCTCTCTCCTTCTCTGTCTCTCTGTCTCTGTCTCCCTCTCTGTGTTATTAATCTACAGCATAGATTATATCATCTGTTTCCCAGTGCTCCCAAAGTTCATATCTTAGCAGGATGGTGAATCTACCTGCAGAAGCATTCAATAATCTATGAACATGCCCCAGTTTCCTGCCATCCCCTCAGTACTACTCTGCTCTGTAGCCTTAATCCAACATGCTGCTTGCTTATAGTCACTTCTAACCTGTCCAAGGAAGTAATGCTGTCCTTCCATTTTCCCTGCCATTTTAACTAAGTAACTTAGACTGGCTGAAGTCTGAAGGACAGCTGGATATTCACTACTTGCAGAATCCATCTGATCACCAGCCAGTATGATGATATATATGAATTGATGAAAGAGACCCCTCTGCAACAGCTTTTTACTGTTACTTACATGGATACTGTCCTAATTACTTTGCAAATCTACAGTGAAGAGGGTATATGGTACTTCTCCAGAGTGGTAAACTGTATAAACGTGCCAGTTATATTGTCATAAGTGGAAGCTCCCTGGAGGACATGTGCTAAGTTACCTAACTACTCTCCCTCAGTTTCTACCCATGAAAAGTGGGTACAATGATATTTTTCTTGCCTATTCAAAGGATTAGGTACTATGGCAGAAAAATCAACACGTGATAGGAGTCATAATGGTAGCTAGGATCCTAGCAGGCTAAGATTAATCTATATTTTTCACCTAGGAATAGTGTCTTATTTGGAGCATGAGTAATGGAGTCTTGTTGAGCTTTGAACTAAAAACTGGGTGTTTGAAAATTATTCTCCAAAGGCAATATGGTAGCAAGTTGGACTGGACTTTTTGCTTTCCTCAGTACCTTTTTAATCACCCAAGACTCAGCTTTCTCCTTCTCACATAGTACTTAAGGAACACCAGAGAGGCAATTGGCATACCTTCCAATCAGGGCTATGTTTCCACTCAGTCACTAGACTCTACAGCTTCTATTATCTCTGTAGTCCATAAAGGCTGACACCCAGACGGATAATGTAACTATGTAACAATTATGAGAATTATAGTCTACCCATGGAAGAGCTGTGTATGTTGAAATAAGGTGTCAGGACTATATGATGAAACCTGAAGTCAGTGGGGGTTTCACTAATTATAACTCCTACAGAGAAAAATGGCTACCTTGAGAAAGTTCAATTTCCGTTCTCACACTCCTGGTGGGAAGGAGGAGGAGAAATGCAGAATTGCTTTTCTCAACTATGGCAAAAAAATTACATATGTCCATGCCCTGTGGGAACTAAATCTGAGAAGCATAGAAGTCCGTCATGTAGCTGAGCTCTGCTTAATAATTTAAATAACAGCATTTGTGGTTAAGTAAGATTGGAACTGTGGTTAAGTAAGATTGGAACACCTCTGGCTCCTTTTTGTTGATTTATGGTACATACTAACCTATTAATGGCTCTGAGGCCTCTTGGAAAAACTAACATCAGAGAGAAGTATGACTATGTGAAATCAAAGAAGGAAATGGGGTCCTCTATGAGGGTTAAGATTTAATATGGTACCAGCTAGCAGGCTGTGTCTTTTGACCAATGATGAAACTGTAAAACGCTTGAAAGTGTGAGTGTGACCAAAGAGAACCATAGCCTCAAATCTCATATGGGAGGAGGGATCATACTAGCCCTGAACTGGGAGCAGTTTCAACTAGAATATGTTTAAATGGTCTATGAAACTTCTGCAAAAATGCCTTTAGCAATTGACCCTAAGTGGCACGGCTATATAAAATAATAAAAACCAGAACCTCCAGTACAGTCCATACTTGACTTAAAAGCAGAATAGAAGCTCCATCTCATTCAGCAAATGCCTGTTTTGGAGAAGTAATTTAAGGAATGAAAGGACCTCTCTACACAAAAGCAGATGAGATAAGGTGTGTGTGTGTGTGTGTGTGTGTGTGTGTGTGTGTGTGTGTGTGTGTATGTGTGTGTGTGTGTGTCACATTTTGATTCCAAGTCAGCAAAACAGATTTAGCCAGTTACAAGAATGGTATCCTTCTTGCACTCCCACATTTCATTTTTACACATTTTCAAACCCTTCTGTAGCCAGTTGTTTATCTTCCTCTCACAAATGGAAGTTTAGGCTTGAGTAAACATCTTTGTGGAAAGTAGGAGCCTCATTTTGAGGCATCATTGAAATGTCGAGGAGGTCAACAGTTTTCATGAAACTGAGCCCCCAGAGAAGGCCCTGGGAGGGCAACACTATTACATAAACATCTAGGTCAGAGGACTTGTGATTGGATTTATAATGGCCATGAAAACAAATCTTTCAGCATGTCAGTGATGTGTAATCTACATTAGATGGAGGTGGGAAGACCCACTCTAAATGTGGGTGATGTCATTCCCTGGGCTGGGGTCCCTACTGAATAAAAAGGAGAAAGTAAGCTGACTGTCAGCAGACATCTCTCCCCTCTTTCTCACTATAGACACAGTGTGACCACTTGCTGCTTTTTCCTGTCAGCATGACTTGCCTGTCAGGACAAACAAACCCCTCCTTCCTTCAGTGGCTTTTGTCAGGTATTTTGTTGATGTAATGAGATAAGTAACTAATGCAGACGGTGAGGTGTCATGTTTTCCAATTGAAATGTGTGGCCATATTGATGGCTTGTACTTTAACAGCTAGAACAGCAGATGAACCGTAGAAAAGAAGTCACTCTATTTATGGCAGCATACCTCTTGTCCATCTTTGCTGACATTGTCATCGGCATGCCTGGCCACAATGGAGAGGAACTGTAGGAGGCGGTGGAGGGTGTCGCAGTTGCAGGGAGGTAGAAGGTAGATGAGGAGTTGCAAGGTGCCCAGTTGTTCTTCTGGTTCCAACACTACACAAGGCAGAGAGACATTTTGAGTAAGACCAGAGGGGCTGACACCGTTTGGACACTGAGGTTGGGTTTCATCTACATTACCTTAAGAACAAAGTTACCCAGGCCAGGCCTACTTTGTAACTTAACCCATTTTCCCACTACTTTAGCAGCTTAGCTACAAAAACCTATGAAAGGTATAGAGAATAGTTGGACAGCCAGAGAAATCATGAGAAAAAAATAACTCTATCTCCCTTATTTCCATCAGCTTCCTTTCTCTTACTCATTACTCAAACTGACTTAATGGGTTTTAGTACCCACTGATAACTATCTGCTGACAGTGGCTGGGAATTGGTGAATGTTCTGAAATTTTTATAATGTGTTTAAAGGCCTTTTCTCTTGAACAATATACCAGGTATAGACTTTTTGTTGGCAATATCCAAGATATGTGACAAAGACACTGTCTTCTTTCTCAGCCACAATCCTACTGGAATTACTGCTTTGCAGGAAGAAATGTGTGCAGGCTGGCACATCTCTGACATTTCCCTTCTCTTCCTCCCCAACCTTTCTCCTTCTCTGGGGTCTGTGTGCTAGACACAGCTCCTTTGAAAGCACTGGTACTGGGCTATGCCATTTTGCTTCCACTGAGAATGTTGTTTGCCCTCTTTCTTACTCTGGGTTCTTTGGCTTCCTCCTTCCTCATACCAGAAGCCAGGATTCATTTTTAGGCACAGACTCAATGCAAGCTCTTGCCAGCACTTCAAAGCATCAACTTATAGTACTTTCTACTTTCCTGGGGTCATTTGAAAACATCTGAAATTCTTCTTGGCTTTTCCCATTCACTTTAGCCCAGCTTTCTTCTTGCTAGTTTCCCCCAGGGTATATCTCAGAAAATCCCCCAAATAGCCCATTCATTAGAGACCAATAAAGGCAAAAGCAGTTATTGGAAAACACATGCACAAGATTTTCATGAGTGAGCTGGACATCCTGCTGTTTCAAGGATATGTTCCCGCAAATCTGGCTTTGTTACGTACAGAGAGTGTTGATGAATGCTGTGTATAGCTCCCTGGTGAGAAGCGGGTCAGGCATGTCCCTGAGGAACTCCTTCAACAAGGCTGCCACATCATGAACACTGTGCTCCTCTTCCAGACAGACATCAATCCCACGGTCAAATTCCTCACGCAACTGGAAAATCAACGGTTCAAGTATCAGTTACATAAGACTCGGGGTTAATTTGACAAGAAGCTTCATATAGTCAGTGACACCTTAGAACCATCTAACCTCAGTGTTTAGTGCTCACCCCCCAAAAAGTGTTTTGATGGATAAAATCTGGTATTAAGTCTGCAGAGATCACAAGAATGGAAAAAAGGAAACAATGTCACTTTCAGCTACAGACTCTACACATACTAATTATGAATGCATACATACATATATATATATGTATATGTATTTGAATGTATTATTAAAAAACTAGTTGTGGATTTGTTGTTAATGGTGTACTCAGAGGGACTAGATAACAAGAATCAAGAAGTTGGGAGTAAGGGTTAAGAGTTAGAAGATAATTTAGGTCAAGTGTAAATGTGCGAGAACTATTATACAACACTTGTGCCTGTCACCAAACACATCACATTGGAATTTTGATAGTTGACTAGAACACCAACAAAAAAATCAAAAACACTAAAGATGTGGATGAGATATAGTATGATGAAGGCTTAAAAGATGATACATTGAAATGAAAGTTATCTTTAATTTGTCAGAGTGGCCTTATGAGCAATTACTAGAAAGCTTCTCAGACTTAATAATTATACAAAGCCTACTACCAAGGATAGCAGAAGGAAAACATGATAAGATGGCAGAGATAATATGCCCTGCTTTTGTCTCTGACAGCTTGATGTGCCTTCTGCATTGTTCTCTGTTGTATAAATTATTATGCAAGTCCATGGATAGACAGCATAATAAACTTCTGTAAGACTTCTTTAGTTCATTCATTCATTTATTCATCCATTCATTCAACAAAGACTCATCACATTATGCTGGGTCTCAGCCCCTATTATAGACTCTCATAGTATGCAAGTACACCAGTAAATAGAGAGGCAAAGTCTGTAAGCCAACTTCATCCCTTAGAAGTAGAGATACAAGGTAGATAAGTAGGTAACACCACAAATGACAAGTTCTTACTTCATAAATATTCATATTTCCCCTCCCCTCTCTGTGGGTGCAGGATGTATGTGAACATGTGTGTGCAAGTATACAAATGTGGAGGCCAGGGAATGATGCTGAGTGTTTTCCTTTATCACTAGACTTCGTATGCCCATGAGACAAGATCATTTACTGAACTGAACTTGGAGTTTTCCATTTCTTGAGCAGGCTGGAGGCCATAAAGCTTCAGGGATTCTTTTGTCTCTGCTTGCCTTCCCCCACCCCTAGTGCTGACTTTATAGGTATGTGGTCATGCTAGGCTTTTTATGTGGGTGCTGGGGACCAGAACTCATGCTTACACACCAAGAGCCATCTCCCCATCCCTAGCTCTTATAGTTTGAAGAAAAAGTACAGGTATGTAAAAGTTACATAAAAACATAAAATAGTGAGTTAATTATCCATCCATTCATTTCATGCTTGAATTTAGTCCTAAATTACCACTAATTACATCTTATGGAGTGAGTAATCCTTAAGTAAATCCCTATGCAAAAAAAAATCTCCATTTTTTATGGATCCAAAAATGTCAAGGAATAATTGCTGGCACTCATCATCTGTCCACTTGATGAAAATACCAATCACTGCCCTCAGTTGCTCACTGATTCCAGACAATTTTCCATTAGCATTTGCAAGACAGCCAGAATGAGGAGTGCACCCATAGCATTACTGCAATCAAGCTAGTTCAGATACAGCATTTTTTTCTAAACACGCACATACGGCATAAACACACACACACACACACACACACACACACACACACACACACACACACACACACACACAGAGACAGACAGAGAGATAGAGAGACAGAGACAAAGACAGAGAGACAGAGACAGAGAGACAGAGACAGAGAGAGGTGGACTTTGAAAGGAGCTTGTTTAATCACATGATCTCGAATTGAATTTCTAAATTTCTATAATCCTGAGAAGAAAGGGGTGAAGGGGACTGCAGCTGAAGGGATGATTCAATAAGACATTATTAATAAAGGTATTCCTTAATTTTACATTTTACAAGTATCATGGTGATATGGTGTTATTCACTCATCTTGTGTAATCATTAAGAATACAAATAAACTAGACCAAAAGAAATACATGATAGGGTATTTACTTCAACATACAAACAATTCTTTAACTTCAACTAAAATTTCTACTTGGATTAACTTTTAAATTGTAGAGTTCTTTATTTTCTTCTGTTTCAACCAATAGGCGAACAATAACATTGTAAGCGTCTTTTGCTAACAAATGGGTTCTGTTTGTTAAAGAATGGTTTGCCTTTTAGGAAGCCATCACAACCCCCAAAATCTATCTGATCAAAGGAAACTAGCCTTGACAATCTAATATCAAATTTCTGCCAGAAGAATGTAGTGTAATGCTGGAAAAAACAAGGAACACAGTTTATCATTAGAAATGAATCAGGGACCAATGGTTTCATAAAATCTTATAAAGCATCTATTTTTCATCAGATTAGATGAGAGTATGTATGGCATTTTCCTAGTACATTTGGGTAAAACCAGCCACTACGAAATTATGTTCTATTTGGGCATGTCCAGAAATATTCCTTCAGTGTTTTTATCCCAACTTCACTCTTTTAAGCTTCTGAGTTGTGTTTCATCTCCTGGGATTTAATTGTACCATAATCAGATGGAAGGTTGGGAAAAGATAGTCAGAAGGAATTTATATAATCTTGAACTTTCCACCTAGTAATTCAATGAAGTGTCAAGGGAAACGGACAATATAACCTTCAGTTTTCACTTACTTGTCTTACTCTCTTTTTTGAGCTTCCAACTCGAAATATCCCCACTGTCTGGAGGCCTGTAAATAAGCAAACAAAATCAACAGTTTTTTTTTTTTTTTTATGATTGAGACTCTGAATGAAAGCAGTGTAGAAACCGTATAGAATGCTTGTACAGAGCTGTGACATGCAGAACAGCAGTGACTTCACAGTGTTCAGCGGCACTTCCATATGCCATACTATTCACCTTCTCCAGATACATAGTTGGCTCTTTAAACATCAGAATTATTTTACCTTAAATGTTTGGGGACGAGAATTCTTTCCCTTGTGAGTGACTATTGATGTTATAAGTCAGAGAGATCTTTTTTATAGGCATTGGCCCTGTAATTCTATATCTATGGCATGATTCTAAGATGATCAAAAATGTGAACAAAGACAGCTACACAGAGGAGGTCAGAGTAGGAACATTTATAAGAGAAAAACAAGCTGTGTATTGGGAGCTAACTTGGGTCCACTCATATGACAGACTATTGTACATCCTTTTTAAATGACATTTATAAGAAATTTTTATAAACATGAAAACTCTGTGTTCTACCATCAAGTGAAAGCAGTGGCATTCTCTTCATGTATATATCTATATATACATCTACACCTACATCTATAGATATAAATATTATATGTACTTATATATAGGTATAGATATAGATTTATGTATACATATATATATGTATGTATATATGTAGTATGATTTCAACAAAGTGATAGATGAATATATTTTTTCAGGGAGTTTTAAAGGCTGAATAGAAATAAACTGAAATTTAAAGTAATTGCTTTTTTTTTTTTTTTTTTGAGACAGGGTTTCACTATAGAGCCCTGGCTGTCCTGGAACTCGATCTGTAGACCAGGCTGGCTTTGAACTCACAGAGATCCACCTGTCTCTGCCTCCTAAGTGCTGTGATTAAAGGTGTGCACCATCACTGTCTAGCTGTGATTGTTTCTTAACTGTTTAACTGTTCTACATTTTATAGATTTTTCTTTAAAAAGTATGTTTTCCTTATGAATAGAAAAAATCTATTTCAAATTTGATAAAGAGTCCAAGTTCCTATAAATTTCATGTTTAAAAATTATTTAGAATAATGAAATAGGTTATAATATTTTATTTCTTGTGGGGAAATTGAAGCTGAAGAAATGGCTTGGTAGTTAAGAGCACTGCTGTTCTTCCACAGAACCCTGGTTTATTTCCTAGCACCCACATGGCAGCTTGCAAACCTTTGCAACTCCACGTCTAGGAAATTCAGCATCCTCTGGCCTCTGAAGATAGCTGCATGCATGTGGTGTACAACAATAACCTTAGACCCACACACAGACATAAAATAAGTCTTTAAAAGATTTGTCTTTAAATATAGCAAACACTCTTACAACCACATATTGGAAATTTTAACAATAGTTATTTAATAACATTGACTTTTCTGTCAATACCCACATAAGTTTTGCAAATTGTGAGTCAATGTGGCTTTTAATGTCTTAATCTGCATTTTCATCTTCCTTTATTTTTTTTCTGTCTCCCTACACACTTGACTTGGTAAAGAAAGAGCATTAAGTTCCCACTGTAAATATCCCCACTGACTAGATTTGGGTATTCTATGATGTCACTTATATGATTCCCTTCTCCCTTTAATCTCCCAATAACATGAGAGTTAAAGCATGAGGTTTTTATGGCCAGATGTAATTATCAGTGGTAAGAATATTATCAAATATATATTGTATTCTTCCTTCAGAAGACACAGATGTTTATCCATTTTCTTTCTTTCCTTTGGAGACAGTCTCACTATGTGAACCAGGCTGATCTCTCATTCAAAAAGATCTACCTGTCTTTGCCTCCTGAATGCTGGGATTAAAAGCATGTGATACCATACATGGTTTCCATTTTCTTTTCTTTTTTTTTTTTTTTTTTTTGGTTTTTTGAGACAGGGTTTCTCTGTGTAGCTTTGTGCCTTTCCTGGAACTCGCTTTGCAGACCAGGCTGGCCTCGAACTCACAGAGATCCACCTGGCTCTGCCTCCCGAGTGCTGGGATTAAAGGCGTGTGCCACCACTGCCCGGCCGTTTCCATTTTCTTAAGAATCCTTCATCATCACTACTGAGGAGCATTATCTACATCTTTTACATTTTTTCACTGTTAGCTCATTCCTCTTCATAATCAAGTATGAGAATGGTGCTAGATTGGAGGTGATAGTGGCTATTTGAAACCACATGAATATAGTTATTGAGAGTAAAGCCGGTAAACAGAGAATCCTCATTGTATTTTTTGAATCTTGCATTCAGACTCCAAGCATATAAATAAGGATTATAGGGTACTGGAAGAGGTAGGGGGACATTCTCCTTAATCTGCTTTCATCTAAGTTTCTTTCTCCTGTGACCGAAAGAATTCTGACTAGTGCAATACATCATTAATTGGAAAGAATTGAAAACTTTATAGCATTACTTCTTTCTATCCAGAAACAACAAAGTAAAGGCTTGCAGTTCTTTTCACAGGGCCTTTATATTATAGGCAATCATGTGTATCTTTTGCATTAGTATTAATTATTTCATTACTATATGGTATCAATGATTCTTGATTTATCTCAAAATAGTAATTTTTTTACATTTTGATATTAAGTACTAACACCTTTATTTTATGTGTACATTTTGCCTGCATGTATATATTGCACCACATCCCTGATGCCTATGAAGGTAAGAAGAGGGAGTTAGATCTTCTGAACCTGGAGCTAAGCATGGTTTATGAGCTACTTTGTGGGGTCTAGCAACTTATGCCATGTCTTCTGCTGTAGCAGCAAATGCTCTTAGCTACCGATCTATCTCTCCTGCCCCAAATGTTAACACTTTTTAGTTGGGTTTCCAAAGGATTTTATTTTTTGTTAGAAAATACAACAGAATAAACATCCCATTTATCAGTTCTGTTTTTCAAAAGTGTTATCCTGAAGTTCCAGATGATTTGAGAGAATTGTAGTGGGAGGTTGGTTATTGCTGATTTACATCTGTATGCGTGGATGCTTTGTTTGGGGGTAAGGATGCTTTGTTTGGGGGTAATCTCCTTATTATGGCTGTTAATTTGTTTCCTAAATGAGACCAAATCCCAACCTAATTTATGTTTTCTACTTCTTTGGTAAGCCTAAAATATGAGATTCAGTTTAGAGTAGGATACAGAATTATATTTCTTCCTCTGTAAAATGATCTTAAGCACCTGCTTCAAAATGTATATACTGATTCTATTAATCAGAGCATATAGAATACTTAGAATAATATTTGATATGTGCTATTATTTAGAGAAAGACAAGCCATGAATTGGTTTGATGAGTCTTCTATATGCAATTTAAAAAACAAAATAACATGACATCTTAGAAATACTGTATTTTGCTAAGTTTATATTTTCTTATTCTTAGATGGCTTCTGAATACTCAAAATTTCAACAAAATAAAGATATCAGAAGGGAATTTTTACAAAAGTAGAACTATTCATTTGGACAAATTTCTCTAAGCTGTTCAGAAACGCCCATTTCTATTAGATAAATTCTTCATTCTTTGCAGTTACTCACTGGGTATTAATTCTGATTTCAATCGACTCTAATATATTTTGGTTTTTGAATTGGATTTATTTTTTAAGGTAGAACAAATGACAGTCTTTGGATCAACAATGGCTTTTGCTGACATAACTTCACAGTGATTTTCCTCAGAGACAAAGGAAGTACAGTTTAGTCATTCAATAACCAGGGCTTAAGGCAGTCACTTTAAAAAAAGTATACACTGAAAAGACACTGATCTCAAAAAGAACTTGGCTGAGTTTTGTCCCTGAAACTGATGTGATCATCTCTCTCCCCTTTTCATCAAAACCTGCAATGGACACCAGATCCAGAAGCACCTGAATCTCAGGCCTAGAGAAATGAGGACAAGCATACTAAGCAATAGATCCCACTCTAAACTCAGCCTCAATCCCAGAAGCATCCTTTGACTGTTTGCCAGCCTCTTGTCTGACTTTTGTAGCTTCTGGAAATTTGAGGTGCTTAAGGAATTTTGATTTAAGAATAGAGAAGGCATTTGAAATGATATATAAGAGAGGAAGGGCTGGGTACATGAATATTGATGAAGCCCATAAAAATTTTCAAGAACAATTTTGGAGAGGGTAGAAAAAGGGTCTCTGATAAATACTTAAAAGACTAAAGTAATACATGTCCTCTACTATCCATTTCAAAAAAACAGGCAAATCAAGTGTTAGGGAAGAAATGCTCTTGCTATTGCTTGTCTCACATAATGTGACCCTGTCTCAAAGTAAAGCAAGGCAAAAAAAAAAAAAATCTAAGACTCTTTATTTTTTGAAGATTTGAAGTTTGGGGGTCACAAATGCGGTATCATGCAAATCAGATATTTATATTACAATTCATAACAGTAGCAAAATAAAGTCATGAGATAGCAATGAAAATAATTTTATAGTTGGGGGCGGGAATCACCACAACATGAGGAACTGTATTTAAGTGTCACAGCATTAGGAAGGTTGAGAACCACTAGTTTAGAATATTCAATATCTATTTGAATTTGAATGTGTATTCTATTATTCTGGAATCATAGCTATGATAGAAATGCTATGGACACTTGAATATATCAGGACCTTCGATAGTTGATCAGTTAGGGCATTATGCATTCTAAGCAAGTGCCACACCACTGAAATGCATCCCTAACTCTTGTTTTAGTTTTCATTTTGAGACGGGGTCTCACAATGTTACCCAGGTTAGCCTTGAACTTACTCTGTAACACAGGAAGACCTTGAACTTGAAATCTTCCTGCCCAGCCTTCTAAGTACCTGGGATAGAATGGCTATACTGATAGGACCAACAGTTTCTGGTTGTTTTTTCTTTAAAAAATTGTAATGAAATCCCATCACTCAGGAGGCAGAGGCAGATGATCTCTGAGTTCAAGGCCAGCCTGTTCTACATAGTGAGTTCCAGGACAGCCAGGGCTACACAGAGAAACCCTGTCTCAAAAAACAAAACAAAACAATAGTGAATATATTATCTTTAGAGCGAATAAGCAATTAAGGAAGTTTGCCCAAATCCGTAAAGTGTGTGATAAATCTATAGCAAATAAACATATGTGATAGATATGGCATTTTATGAGACAAATATCTAAATTTCAGAAAAGAACTATCCATCATATTAAAGTCATCATGTTAATAGGAATTGAGCTGCAAAGGGATGGCTGGAGACATTCAGAGTACATATTTCCCAAAAAGCAAACCTTTGTCAAAAGAAATGTTGTAAGGAACCTTAATGTATAAACACATCCAAGGAATCTGACTCTATTTGAAGGGGGTATATTCCATACAAGTGATCCTTCCCTAAAATGCTTGGTCAGAGCCCCTTGGGAATCTGAGCCTCTTGTGATCTGAGGACTCCAGATAGCATCACACCTATTTAGCCTTGTGGATCCTAGTAGCTTCTTAGTCAACACTTATATTGGTGAACTTTATTCACCAAAGGAAGTTTGGTCCAGCCCTTGCTCAAGGAAACACAGAATTGAAACTGGGTGCATAGAGGAATGATAACTTGGATCATTGGTGGCTGATGACAAATCTACTTACCATGTTTTTCCAGATGCTGGCAGCAGCTGTCCACCAGCCTGGGGACCTGCCTGTAAATAGGATTCAGACTCAGCTTCTTATCTCTGGCCTTTTCTTTTTTATTCTGAGCCTCAGCAGGCAAGGAGAGTTGTAAAGCTTCTAGGAGTCGAGACTGGTTGTCATCCAGATCCGTGATGGAATCCACTGACATGGCACCCTGCAAGTGATATGTAGATTTGAAAATGATCACAGGCGGCAGAAAGAAAAGCGGCTGCTGGCAGAGGCCACCCAGTAAAATTGATGGAGGACCACCACTCTCAAAAGATACTACTGCTTTATTTTGTTATGTTATTTACATATTTGTTTATTGCTGACATATCAAGGAAAAACTAAATGCCTTTTGAAAAAGTTAGAAAATCTGTACAAGTATCATTAGTTATGATTTTAATACACAGACTTATCTAAATAGAAGACAAGAAATTGGAAATATATAATTAAAATAATTTGTTTCAACTACTTAATTTTTGAAACAAAAATGCATATGAATAAGGTAAAGTCATAGAACTCTTGTGAATAAAAAAAATCCTCAACCATATCACTAGGATGTAGACTTTAAACATAGGAAGATTCAAACTGGGCATGATGGCACATGCCTGTATCCCCAGTATGCAGGAGGTTACAGCCATCCATCCTGGATGAAGTGTGTGCTGAGAAGTCAACTATTGGAGTCCTGGTAGGGCCTGGACAGAGAAAGGGACATTTAGGAAGTCCACTGCCTAGGTCCTAGATTCCCAGAAAGCTCAAATTTAGAGTTTTGGTTTTACTGTTATTTGGATTTATAAACAGGTAATTACAGGCTTAGAAGAACAAATTCATCTTGAAATACAAATATTCCATAGTTTTGTCATTTTTTTCCACTTTGAATAATAGTCAATACCATAAAAATAACAGGGTTTTAGGTCTTGCTATATCTTGGAAGAAGTCCTGAATGTTGAAAGCTAAAAAAAAAAATATGAGTTATAAATGGAAGTTTGGTTGTATATTTAACTAGGACAGACTTTAATGGCTGGATTGACAAAGATTTCCAGCCTAAAGTTTAGAAAAAAGGGAAAGATCTTTCAGGGACATAGGAAGTCTTAAAGGTGCTTTGCAGTGATTATGCTGATTAGAATCTGGGTGGTCTGAGAAACTCAGCTTTCTAGATTGGCAATGTGACATGCAAAGAGCACAGAGCCTAGAACGTAGTGCCCACTCCATCACTGGCATCATATTGCTATAGCATGAATTTGAAAGAGACTGCATATAGGACTGTACATCTCTATTTAAAGAATGACAAACTCCATTGATAAGAAAAAACTAATCTCTCATTGATTTTGAATAGCTATGGCTAATTCACTGATCCAGGTACATTCTAAGAATGGAATTGACAAAAATTAACAGAAACACTGGATCTTGGCCTCAAGACTCTACTTCTAGCATAGGGATGTCTAACCTGCAGCCCATGTGTGTAATATATATACATAGTGCATGTGACATTGTGACAGTAGAATGCCATCTATAAAGTTCATGCTCAAGAACTAAACAACTGAGTTACAAAACAAAATGACCAAAATAATTCTCACAATGTTTTAAATAAGTTTATGGATTTGTATTTTGGCATATCCATAGCTATCTTGTTATGTATGTGACCCATAGGTTGAAGGTTGGGCTTGTCTGATTAAGCAGGAAGTCTATCAAGATGGCAGGAGATAACAAAAGACAAGCATCAGTGTAGAACATCTGGGTACCAAGTTAATCAGGAGGGAAATGTAGAGGGAACATTAGCTGCCACATGCACAGTACTGGTTATTGCTGAGTGGAAGAGATCTCTACAATGAGTCTGGTTTTCATGTTAATAGAGACTCAAAGGACAACCTTACTCATTTTCAGTGTTCTCAGAGTCAGAGGAAATCCTGGCTAACTCACCCTTCTCCTGGCCCGAGGAGCCGGTTCTGGAGTGTTTGGGGATGTGGACTCATTTGGTGTTTCTGAGGTTGAGCTGAGAGATGAGTTACTGCTTGAGAGTTCTTTGTTCTGTTTCTTATTCCCAAACGGGAGGAGGGAAGACACGAAATCAGATGCGTCCTTTTGCTCCTCCCTCTGCAAGTCTTGCTTTAGTTTATATGCCCGGTCATTGGCAATAACTTGGGATAATGGCATTCCAAATGCCTGTGGGATAAATTCTGCAAGGAAAAAAAATATTTATATTCAGGGAAGGTCCAAACAGGAGAGGATGCTCATTCACATCACATTCATAAAAGCAGGCAAGGTCAAATTATTGATTCAAAGAATTGATTCATCAATCAGCATACTGAGATGGCTTTGTTTTGTTGGACAAATGCCCTAAGTTTCAATTACAATTAAGGAAGCTAGTAGGTACAAATATACATTTTAGAAATGTACGTCTCTCATCTTTCCCCATCTGCTCAAGTCTGTTTTAAAGGAAATAACTTTGTAAAGAAGTATGACATTTGGACAGACTATAAATAATACTTTATGCCCATGATCACACATCTTTATAAACCATTACTCTTCAATTTATAAACTTTAGAAGTCTTTGAAGGCATGAGGAAACCATATATATCCATTCACTCAACAAACATTTATTGAATACCTACTACTTGCCATGTCACTTTTACAATAGAGGGGGTATAAAAGATCTCAAGTCTTTTCTCCTGAGGGGTCCTGAGATGGGGTGAGGATGCGCAGAGTCAGACATGTAAATAATTATAACAGAGTGACTCTCATCTGAATAATAGAAAGATGAAGGAATCCAAGGTTGAAATTCAACTGATACACTTTAAGGATCCTAATAAAAGAGGCAGTAAGGGAAGTAATAAGCTATACTCAGGCTTCCTGATGACCACATGCAGAAGTGGACTTGACCATGATATAGCTTGTGGGAATTCCAGGATATTTTTGTTATTTTTTTTAACTAGGGACCATTTGAGGAAGAGACCGAATATAGAACTTTTTGGCTTCATTTGGCAATATATATATACAGTTTCTTTCTGCATCACTGTGGTAAATTCATGTGTGTTCATATATATATTAGCTCCTCAGAGACAGACATTTTAGCAGCATTTTATATTTATGCTGAAAGTATTAATAATTCAATTAAGCACATTATTCTTGTTAGATTCAAAATTACATCTCTTAGCAGCCATAGCATTTGGAGTCTAGGAGAGCCCTTGTTTTTACAGGTCTTGTGAATGAAACCGAAATGATCAAGGGAAAATAACTCTAAGGTTATTTGTTCTTTGAACAAAAAAGCCAACATTAAACCAGGTGGAAAGAGGCTTTAAAAGGTTTTCCTGCTTGACTCATGGTAACATTTTAAACTAGGCTAATAGCCAAGTCTCCATTAAGAGCAGAAATGTTATTTTAAAGGCATATACCTCTGGTCCCATCAAAAGATGCAAGTTGTTTTGAAGTAAAAAGTCCTAAGTTCATCTGGGGATTTTTCAGAGGTGCTTGCTCTATCAGTGAACTATGGAATATATGGCAATCAAAGGGCTATGCCTTTCTCTTTTGAGGTAAGACTAATACTGCAAAGAGCAGTTCCAGGCCATAGGCTGTGCACTTGGAGAATTTCGTGTAAGAAGCAGGAAATAATCAGATATTCTTCAAAAAGTTTGGACATACACATGGTAAGACTGACAGCCACATAGAATGTACAGACATGGATGGGGAGAGTCACAACAGAGGGGACTTTGAAATACATCATGTGGCATGGGTCTGTTAATGTAGGCACATGCACAGCAGGTGCTTGCTCTAAAATGAGGGCTCTTCAATCCTCCCATAGCCATTTTTCCATATAAGCAAACCCAGTCTGACTTATTTAGAGACTTCATGCCTCTCTGGGAAAAAAAAAAAACAAGAAAGACAGTTTCTTTGAAGACTATAATAAAAAAAAATTTATCTTTATGGGTACATGTGTGTCTCTTTGTAGGTGCAAGGATGTGCGTGCAAGTGCCCACAGAGGCCAGAAGAGGGTCTTGGATCCTCTAGGGCTGGATTTACAGGTGGCTGTAAGCCACCATGTGGGATCTGGGAACTGGAATTGAGTCCTCTGCAAGAGCAGTTCATGGGCTATCTCTCCAGCTCCCCCTAATCTAGCATTTTCGGTACCTTAAAGTCCATCACTGTGTTTGTAAATTGTAATGACTGAATACAAATTAAACAGGAATCATATGAATTTATTCTCTCCTGATATTTAGTCTTCTTTTAATCTCATTCAAAAGATGTTTCCACTAAGAATGGGTTTTTATTTCTCTTTGGTATGGTAGGCTTCTGTTAGGGCCGAGCTTATTATTTCAATGCTAGAGTTTTTATGTGGGCTCCTTAGTTTCTTGCTACTTTTCTCAAAGACTCTTATAAGCTTTACAAAGTAGAGCTCTTTAAGCTCAAAACTGTGAGATGTTGTCTTGAGGTCTTTGCAATATTCTAGGAAGGATCCTTGAATATTCTTTCTCCTTAAAAAATACAGCTATTGTGAAATCAAAAACTCATCAAAATTCTATTGGGCAAATTTGTCATTTATGTGGCAATCAAGCATTGGGTGCATGTGCCTATCTCTGAGTTCAAATCTTTTTTATGAGGAGGTCATAGAAACCTGAAGATTCTTCGCAAAGACAGGAGCTAATAAACTTGATAATAGGATTTTTTAAATGACAAAGATATTACCTAAGACTCTCTGTGCTGTGGCTAGGGACAGCTAGTATTATGTTCTAATCTGAGCCATGTGTTCCACCAGGATATTAGCAGTGGTTGTCTTTGCCTCCTCGTGAAATATGGGGTCAAAAGGTGATGGATTTTCCTCTTTGCTCCCAACTGTTCCCTTTAGAGCCCCACCCTCCCACCTGTGATGGAAGCTTACCATCACAGGCTTGTCCTTGTCCTTTACTCTTTATTGTTTTCTACTATTATTGGCTTTGATTCACCATTAAACCACCAATCTCGCATAAAATTTGGTGACTTGCCAGTCCACCTTAACGGCTCACATGATTCTCTGTTCTCATGTTTACTTGTCCCCCTTTTTCTCCTCTGACCTTTGGCTGTATACCATCTTTGTCACCCACTCCCTTAGTCTCATGCTGGACCTCGTTTTCCCCAGAATTTATGCTTCATTTCCATCTTCAGCTCTCACTTGTCCTCCAAGCACAAGCCACTTCTTGTTCCTTTACAGCATGTCTCATTCCCAGCTTCTTTCTTACTAGACCTTGCTTGGATTGCTAGGGGTGTCTGCTCTTTATAGAGGTAAATATAACTTTAGAAAGTCATACATTAATACTTCTTTTTATGCCTCATTTCTATTCCATCATCTTGCCATTCTAACTTTACGTTATCTTCTTCTCTACTTCTCTCCACCTCTGCCACAATCCTCATTCCATGATACCATTGCTTTGCTCCTGGATTTTATACCTTTCAAATTGCCCTTCCTCCATTACTTTGTGCTGATGTCAGCTCCACTCCAAGTTCATGTAATACAATGTAGCATGATAGAGCATTTTAAAACACTATGAAGTCATCCCTTAGTATATTTTGATGATGTCTCAATGCTGTTATCATGTAGACCAAAAGTTGTGTTGTAGTCCACAAAGTCCTCTGTGAGATAACCCTAGCTCCTTCCTACCTTTCTCTGGAACTACATACATCCTGGTCATTCTCTTCTCTAGTAATTTTTTTTTTTTTTGTGTGTGTGTGTGTATGACTGTGTATGTTTTGTGTACATGTTCATGCTGGGGTGTTCTTGAGGGTTTGGATTTTCATATACACACAAGGAGGTCAGAAAAACCTTGTTTTTTCTCCTCAGATATTTACCACCTTTTATTTGAGACCAGATATCTCACTGGCTTGGAACTTTGCCAAGTTTTCCAGGCTAGATGAGCAGTAAGCTTTCAGGGATCCACCTGTCTCCACCTCCCATTTCTTCCTTTCTGGGCTTATAGGCACATACCACCAAATCTGGCTTTTCTAATGAGGGTTCTAGTGGTCTAATTCAGGTTCTCACACTTGTGTGGTAACTACTTTACCTACTGAGTGATGTTCTTAGCCACCAAAGGATGTCTTTTAATGACACTTTTGAATCTATTTTCTTAGAGAATTTCTACATGTAATTAATTCTTAATTTTTTCTACTACTACTTAATGTGAAGCAAAACTAGAAGTTGAGGCAATTAGTCTTTTGTAGGTTTTACTTCACAGCTCACATATAGTGACTTAGACAGTGAGTAACCATAAGACACGACACAATGGGATTTTGGTACATAAAACGTACCACAATTGAACTAATCTTCTTTTCATGTTGATACTCTGTCAGTGTCCTGGTGGACAGTTACTCCATAGTAACACGTAGTCCCCATGTGCCTTGATTAAGGAAGCCCTGGACCTGGATCAAAGTAGTTTTTTCAAATATTTATTTATTTATTTATTTATTTATTTATTTATTTATTTATCTTTTCCACAAAATCTGTTTTTTTTGAGTCAAGAAAGAAATTGTCTGAATTTCTGAAAGTTATTTTTATTTGCCAAATAATTAAACTACAAAAGACTAGGAACTTGGAAATCTTCTGTTTGAAAATATGTTTTGCAAACCAATGTCAATCTTGAATTAGTTTCCATATGGCAACCAAAACTTAGATGGGCTTTGTTTAAGTAGCATCCTGAATGCAAGAATGTCACATGATTTGTTGTATATTTTTATATCAAGGAATTAAATATCATTCAGGACATGATTCATGCTGATGGAATCAATTAATATAGTAGCATATCAAATATTTGTGAATCACTTTTTTTATTGGGAGAGCAGGTCAACCATGAAGAGCTGCTCCCCTTTATTTTTAGATGGCCTAACCCAAGAGGTCATTCAGAGTTTCCTGTTTTCCTTCTTTCCCTCTTGGATTTCAGTGATGATCATTTTTCACATGTGTGTCTGTTATGAACTCAAACACTAATATCCAAAGGGAAGTGAACTGATTCCAAATGTGCCACACCAGTACACAGCCACCCCAGGTTCTGGTTCCCAAGATAGCCAGGCAATGGCTCCCAATGTTGACATGGACAAAGCTTTATGTTTTGAAGAGCTGTCAAGAAGTAACTCTTCAATTAAGCCTAGAACACTTTCTTTTTTAAACATCAAATCTAATCCATAAAGAGCAAGCTTCACAGAGTGAAGCTTGGTACTTCTCTCCTTAGATGGATGGATGGATGATCTGCCTTTTCATTAGAACTATCAAGAGCTTACTTTCTTTCTCTACTCATCCTCTCTTATGTCGATAAAGAATACTGCCAAGATTTTACTGGTCTACATTAATATGATTTGGTCTGAAAAATATCTAATGTCCCAGTGGACACTAATCAGTTCCTTACTTGCTGCTTGCTGACCCTTACTTTCCTATTCACTCATGTTCTTTCTTTCTGCTTTCTTTATATACAATATAAGTGCACACACACACACACACACACACACACACACACACACACACACCAATTTAGGGAATGCAAACATTAATCTCTCCCTGCAAAAAACCCCTCATTCTTAGCATAGTCTGAATGGGTACTTTCTAAAGAATTACCTAACATCTTCATTGTGTTTCAATCCCAACACCAATATCATTATCCTAGAGTAAAGCAACTTCAAGCAGTAATTTATTACTCATATAGTTGTCTTCACTTTTCAGTTACAGTAAATTGTAATAAAATTAAGTGGAAAATTACCAAATAAGAAAGTCATATGTTTTAAATGGTTTCTATCACAGCATACTATAATAATTGGCTTATTGTTAGTTATTTTGGTTTGTCTTCTACTGTGCCTAATTTATAAATTATACTTTACCATATGTATGCATGTATACACAGGGAAGTATACTGCACATAGGTTTGCTATTAGCCAAAATTTGAGTCATCGATGGAAAGTTTTTGGAATGTATCTCCCATGGATAAATGGAGGACTAGTGTAGTTAAGTGCCCACCCATAAATGAGTCATCAATTTTATCCCCTCTAAAGCCTAGGGGACACTGAGGAAGATGGAGTAGAAAGAGTGTAAGACCGAGAGGCTGGGGTATAATGCTGTCAGATATGGTCTTCTGCACATGACATGTCCATTGCACTCATGAACACAGCATCTGTGCTTACCTGCATAAGACATGCACAAATAAAAGACAGGAAAGTAGGAAGGGGACTAGTTAGGAAGAAGAAGGAGTCAGCAGGAGAGGGTAAAAGGAGGTAAGAGAGGGTGCACATGATCACAATATAATATACTATATACTATACTATACTATATATAGTATAGTAAAATATATGATGACAATATAATTTACTATAATATATTCATGAAATTGTCAAAGATATAACACAAAAAGAGCAATAAAACATCAAACATATACATATAATAAAATTTATCAGATAGTGGATATGTAGCTAGCCTACCCCTTATCTTCATCATTCTGGTAGCAAATTCTGCTGAGGTTGTTCATATCCTGCTGAGTATTCTGGTGAATATGATCACAGCTCTCATGCTAAAATGTATGCATTGGAAGTTTTTTTTTTTTTTTCAAAAAAGCAACAGCTCATTCACTGCAGTGAGGATCTGGCCATTAGGTGTTCTTTCGTTTGTATTTTTTGGGGGTGCTGGGCACAGAACGATTGGTCTTCTGCATGCTAGACAAGTATTCTATCCCTGAGCTATATTCCTCAGCTCTTGGGACTTAGGACATTTAAATATTACAGCCATGATTCTTTCTTGCAGCTAAAGGTATGGATTCTTAACACTTTTATCTTTTTTTTTTTTTGCCCAGCTTGTGGTACATATCTAGAAGGCTGATCACAGTCTACCTAGAGGCAGTGCTACTGGCACTTATCAGAGGCCAAGGATGCTGCTAAACATGTCACACCTCAAAGTACAACATATGCCACAAAAATTTTCCAGTCTACATTGCTACTAGCACCAAGGAAGACAAACCCCACTGTAAGGGAAGCAAAATAGTGAATTTCCATTTCTTAGGATTCTTTCTATCCAAATATCATGAACTTTAAGGCACACTTTAAGCTATCTGTATGTAGACTGCTATCAGTGTTAGAATAAGGCTTGTCCAGTGCAATTTGTAATGCATTTATTTTAAAAGCCATTGCTTTCCACTACAAGTATAAACACAGTTACTATACATGGGAACTCCAAAGTGAGACACGTGTCTTTCCTCATTCAACACGTATTCATTGTGGCACATAAAATGAACATACATTCACTCAATGACACCATTCAACAATCAGTTCATATAACACAATGAGAACAAGTCATAAAAAAATTAGACTGTGCTAATGGGGTCCCGGTGACCTTTACAACTGAAGAATACAAACTTAAATTGACAACAATTGTCTCTGAAAGAGTGGCTCAAGTGTCATTTCCCTAAATAGCCATAGAAATGGACACAAATCAGTATGATGAAAGCCAGTAATGGCAGAAAACATATGATGCCCAAACCAAGCATTCTGTGATCTAACAAAATTGCTGACGATGGCCTATCTTTAGTAAGCCATGAGATGAAGATTGTTTCTTTTCTGTAGTCATAGTAGATGAATGCAAACTCTTTCTCATTTAATTAGTCCTGCTTAATTGTCTGCATTTGCCAAACAGCTGGTTAGTATTAGGCATGCTGGCCATGGCTACTCAACCCAGGTCCTCTTTAGACGTAGCTGATTGGACAGAGTAATTGGAACCATAACCATGACTGCAGTCACCCACTGCTCAAACCAGCTGAACTCATCAGTTCAACATAGGGATACTCAAACACAGAAAAGGAGACCCAAATGGCTCTCAATGACATTCCATTACAGAAATGTAGTTTACATAATAGAACTCAACCAGATAAACCGATGCAATTTGAAATCTCCACCCAATCCAAGTAGCATGCTCCCTGCAAGATGCATTGACTTTAGTTATTTGGCCCTTTACCTTTGTCTTTGTTCTTTTCCTTCCCCAGGGAATCCAGTTTCTTTCTCAAAGATTTCTTTCTCTTTTGTCCATCTGTAAATATTAAAAGAATAAGCCGTTGTAAAAAAAAATAAGTATATAAATGATTTTCACATTACAAACAATTGCAGTTGACTTCTTACTTCACTCATAGAATTCAACATTGTAAACAGAGAAATAGCTCTGAGAAAACCGGAAAAATCCCTGACATATAGCACGTGAAACCAGCCTTGAAATACACTCTGAAATGTTCTTCCAATCATGGGAAGAGCTAGAAACAGCCCTAGTTCATATGTAATTCAGTTTTGACATCCAGATGTGTTTGTTTTTACTATTACATAAGGTTTTTCCTATTCTCCATGGTAATACCAGTCATTGTTCATCTTGAACAAAATCTCCATGACAGAATCAACTATACACACATTTAGCTTTGACATTCATAAGCTACTACAGTGTAACTGGAAAGGGAAATGGATTTGGCGTCCCACAGAATTCAGACCTTACTACTACCATAACATGTATAACTTGCAGGGCTTTGGTGAAGTCTCAGTGCTCTTATGTAAATAGTGAGAATTCCATGGTTTTGTTGTGGGAATTAAATGAAACAATGTATATAAAATGCTTAATGTGCAAGCCTGGTGCAAGTCCATAAACTCAGATCTACTGTCTCCCTGGGGCTTGCATGTCATTCTACAGAATGGCTGTCCCATAATTTAATTATTCACCCACTGATGGATATTGGAGTTGTTTCAGATGTGTCACTAGAAGTGGGGAATATTCTTTTTTAGCATCTGATACTTCTAACAAATGTACTTAGTATTTTGCTTAACTCACCAAATAGTAAAGATACCATTCATATTGGTTGGCAGCTCCAATCAAATTCCTGGGATGTCATCATAAAATATTGGCATTTATCATTGCCAGAACATGCTTTGGAATTATTCAGCTTAACACATAGGGGGTGTAGACCAGGAATCCACACTGGTTCCAAATAGAGAAAATGTGGTTCATACCCAAGGGACTATTTAAAAAGTAGATTAAGAATTGTCTTGCAGGAAACACTAAAATATGTCATAAAAAGGAGATACCACCAAATAAAATTTATAAAACAAGACTCTGACAGCAGGAAATGACAAAGTAAAATGTCTGGATGTAATGAGCATTCCTGAGATCCTCTAGGGCTTCAGATGTTCCCAACTCCTTCTCTGCTGTGAAGTGTTAGAAATGCAGGAACACCACAATATAGGTAACAGGTGCATTTAATACCTTTCCCTTCCAATATCCTGCCCAAAACATTTTCTTCCCACAAAATGAAAATAGTAGGATTTTTCACCTTTGGAGTCATGAGATTTGTAAAATGAGAAAAACATGTAAATTAATTGTAAGGTGGCCAAGAGTCATTAATCTCTTTCATCCCTGGTGTGTTCATATCTTAAACCTCTAAGAGTTGATCTAGCTATTAGGGACTGTTGCGACTTATTATATATACACAGATGATAAAACACACTAACTATATAAGATTCTAATCTGTTCTCCAAATAGGATTGATGGTGCTTTTACTTTGTAATGCTTTCTTTATTGCTAGTTCATATTACCAAATGTGTTTGGTCAGTAATAACATTTCCTAATAAAAAAATCCTCTAATTCTTTAATTTACATATTTGACTGAACAGAATAACTAAACAATACATCTATTAAAGCCTAAGAGATTTTTCTGTGGTGCTAGGAATGGAATCCAGGGCCTTGCACATGCCAACCAAGTGTTCTATCACTGAGTTCATCATGAGAAAGCACAAGTCTTTGTCTTTAATTTTTGTATTTTTTTCAGTTAGTATATAAACTAATAGATATCACTATGATGCTTTTATACATATGTCTCATTACACTTTGTTTTCAATCATTCTCCTCTCCCACTGCTCTATCCCCATGCACACAATCCTTCTGGCTGGTTGTCTTCCTGTCTCATTGTAGGCATCTGTGATCTGCTCTAAAGCATATTCCTCAGAATAACCCTTACTTGGAAAGGGGAGAAATTTGACTTTGAATCCAAGCTCCACCACCTGTGGCTTGGGGAGTTTTGTGCTTTAACTTTTTGATTCTCAGTTCTGGCAACTGTAAGATGAATAGATTTTCTGTGGATTACATGTTGATGCATATTAGATTCTATTACAAAATATGAATTGTCACATCAATGACGACTCATGCTAGTCTTCATGACTATTTAGAGGTTAAGATTGTTGTGTACTCCCCACCACCACTTCTCTAACTTTGAATTACCTTGGGCATGTCTCACAGGCACATCCCTCAGATGGGGACTATATCTCCTTCCCCTACCACCTAGGCAGATGTGGAGAGTACTAGCTTTGACATTAGAGAGTTCTGTAAAACAGGTTCGGAATTTATCACTTCCCACAGAAAAGTTACTTAATCTCTTCAAACCTCAGTCTCCTCATCTATAAAATAGGAGACATAAAAGTCATGACTGTAAGGACTGTTGCATAGATAGAATAAGGTTATAAATACCCTGTACTTAGATTATAGCACATGCTCAATAAGTACTGATTATTCATTGATCTATGTACAGAGTAGAGGTGGAAAGATGAGACCACAGGTATTCAGATATTCAGAAAAGGGAAGTAGGCAAGAACTATCTTCCCTTCACCTTTCATGTTGAATTTTCAGCTTCATTCAGTTCATCTCCTCTGAGAACATTAATGAAGACTTACTTCCACAATGCCTGATGAAAGGACGATGCGTGGAAGCCAAACCTGAAGCACTCATTCCAAAATGCCTTTGATGGGGACATGTTCCCCAAGTTCCTTCTCTAAGACAGCATACACACCAGAAGTGTAGCCCTGCCATTGTTTCCATCACACCATAAAAACATTCTTATAGATAAGTATAATCGGGAGGTTTTATTTTTCTAAAATCCTGCTGAGGTTTGATTGGGTTTTGCCCCAAAAGTATGTGTTTGGAAACTTAGTTCTCATTACAACAGTGTGGGAAAGTGTAGGCTTAATGGAAGGACCTGAAATCATGCATGCACCCTTGTGGACTGATTAATGCTATTTAGAAAGGGCTTGAAGCTATTCTTTCTCTTTCTATAATACCTTCCACCATGTTATGAAACATGAAGGCCCTCTCTAGATGTGCCCTTCGATATTAGTCTTACCAACATAGCAGGCCCATATAAACTCCCATTGTTTATAAATTATCCAGTGGCATATATTTTTAAGGGACTGAACAAACTAAAACATACCTTCATCTCCACCTCTCTGCTTGGAATGATGCAAGACACCTTGTCTACTACATGTTCCCTACTATGAAGGTCTACGTCATCATACATTGATGTTAGATGGGTCTAACATCAATAAAGTCAATCTACAGGTGGAAACCTCTGAAATTGTGTGCCTCTTTTAAGTATTTTCCTTTGGTATTTAAAAAATATTTATTTTGTTCTCTTTCATACATATTAGTGTTTTCCTTGAATGTATGTATATGTACTGTGTACAATGCATGATGCCTGCAGAAGAAGGTGTCTGATCCTTTGGAACTGTAGTTATATATGGTTTCAAGCCACTGTGAGACTGTGGGAACTGAATCTGGGTCCCATTCATAAATAAAAAGTGCTCTGAAATGTGGAGCTGTCTCTCCTGCTCCCTTTTGGGTATTTGGTAACAGTGATGAAAACTGATTAATACAAGAGAAGGGTTTACATACACCTAATGATGAAATGAAGGCCAAGAAAGAATTAGTAGGCACCTGCTGCCAGGGCCAGAGGTCTGCTTTGGTTCTATCACAGACATAAGCAAGAATATAGCTCAGTGGGCACAAAACAGCCACATCCAGTCCACTACTGTTCATGTGAAGATCAATGTACAATGATCTTTAACAGTTGAGAGCTGATGTAAAATATTGGTTATTTCTCACACAGATCTGGAGTTTTATCCTCTCAAGAAAGGCAGAAAATCTCTGTCTTACATTCCTCACACTTACCTTAAGTCAGCATCGGCACCTAATTCTGAGCCATTACACTCATTTATAGTATCTGGCAGGCACTGAAATTTGCAAACTAAAAGGGAGGTTCTAGCTTGTTCAATCCTTTAAAACAATTCCTGCTGAGAAAAATTTGGCAGGATGATTTTGGCACTACCTCCCCTGTTTCCCAGCCATAGCTGCCTCACTATTTAGTTGAACCAGAAAAATAGACTCCCAGAGAAAGTAAACCAAAGGAATTCATAGGCAATGTGGAGAACTTAGTGGAAAAAGTGAGGATAAATATAAAAAGAGACTTGTGGGGTGGTAGAGTAGGAATTGACCCTTTAGAAACTACACATAGTCTATGCCATGGGTTCTCAATCTGAGTGCTAGTGACAAATGAAGTCAGGTAATTCTTATTTATTTATTTTTTTTAAGTTTTTTTTTTTTTACATACCAATCCCAGTTCCCCCTCCTCCCCATCTCCAGCCCTCACCTTCCCCCATCCATCCCCCCATCCACTCCTGAAAGAGGGTAAGGCCTCCCATGGGGAGTCAACAAAGTCTGGCATACTAAGTTAAGGCAGGACCAAGTCCCTCTACCCTGTGTCAAGGCTAAGCATGGTAATTCTTTATTATGGTTAAGTACCCTATGTATTATAGACTACATAGCCACATCCCTTGCTTTTATTTACTTAGCTGCCAGAGCATATGCTCATATTCTGTTGCAACTACCAATGATGTTTCTGGGCATGACCAAATATCCACAGGAAGCACAACTCCTGTGGTTGAGAACCACTGCTTTCTGTATAATTCTATGTAGAGAACACAGAAATGCACACAGGCAATGTAAAGAAAACCTTCATGCTCTCCCTTCCAGTTGATACCCAGCTTTCACTTCTGTTTTAGACAGAACCATATCAAAATATTTACAAATTATTAGGACTTTAACTATTGGGTTGAATTTCAGGAAGAAGAACAATTCCCTTCAATTTATAAAGAAATGAGAGTCTGCCTATAGATAGTGATCTTTGTACCAAATGCTCAAGACTATAGGTTTTAGGATTAAAATAAGCC